CATAAGATTATTAAGTGATTGTTATTGAAAATGGAACGCTGGCTGTCTGCTCATGACTGTGAGGAGGATGCAATGGCCGCACCCTCTGTCTGCCCAGCGGCAGCTGCCGTTGCGGCCGCCTTGCCCTCCGCCCAACGCATCCACGGCGATATCAGTGCAAATCGACTCTGGACGTTTCGTGTGCTGATGAACGAGGAGATCTCAGCTTGCGAGCAGCTGGCAATTGTGGGCAGTTGTGAGGCGCTGGGCAATTGGCAGCATAGCGGGGCGGCTTTAATGAGCCGACAGGAGTCGCAGGAGGAGGAAGACGAGGGCCACGTGTGGATGGCCCAGGTGTATATACCACAGCATTGTGCCACAAATTATCGGTATATGGTGTGCGGCGTGGATGCCGCATCGGAGCAGCTACTGGTGCGACGCTGGGAGGTGCAGCTGCAACCGAGGTGCATTGAGGAGCAAGATGAGCAGCCGACAGAGTGCCAGGACACGTTTGGCTATGTCAATGGCAAGCACAAAGTTGATCGCGGCTGGCTGACCAAAGAATCGCTGGTGCAGCTAAAGTTCTTTTATGCGCCCTTCACCTGGAAACAGCGCATGAAACGACGTCTGGTGCACGTTAAGGTGACGCCCATGAATTTGCGCATACCCGTCAACGGTTGTGCTGAGGTGGCGCCCGGATCATCGCTCGAGGATTCGCTATCGAATGACACGCACGACACCCGTGAAAATGGCAACGATAGCACAGCTTTTGCCTTCAGCGAGGTGGTCACCCTGAGCGCAAATGAGTGCGAACTGCGCCCTCAGGAGCAGTTCGGTGTAGCGTGCACAGCCAGCGATTTGGTTATCTTTCATCTGACCGTTGCTGACCTGGAGAACACGGCTTATCTGGTTGATTTGTACAGTTATAGCTCGAAAGTGGCAAGAGAAGATGGCCCGCCGTTGCACCTGGGCTATCATTATGTGTTGCCCAATTTGTTTAAGCGCTCCGAGGGCAATCTTGAGCTACCCATTACCTGCGCCAAGGGCCATCGTCCGCTGGGCATGATGCGGCTGGGCTATCTGATAGTCCGACCCTCGTCCCACAGCGCCCACATGGACATGCGCGTGAGCTATGCTCGATATTGGAACAATAAGTGGACCGGCCTGGACGTGGGGCATCGTGGCTCCGGCACCAGTTTTAAGGTAAGTTCATAATAAATGAGTATACCTTTATGATTTTGTTAAATTTATTAATATCGATTTATTCTTATTTCTGTCGACTCTTCCAAAAATATCAATATTATAGATTTTTATATGAAGAATCCTTTTATAGTCCGTTTTGTGTCGTTCTGATGATAAACGTACATACATACATACATGCATACACAGATATATGTACAATATGATGAAATGAAGGTATTTTGCACAGATTATTCTACTTAGCAGTTTCCAGTTCATTCAGACGATTCGGACGATGCGGGCTGCAGCGTTCAATTAAACAAATCAGACCATGTTTATAATCGATTCAAGTCATTAGCAATCGATAAGCATATGTATACTCTTAAACACACTAGGAGATATAGTCTCCGGTATACCATCAGATAAACAAATCAGTTCTTTTATTTTCTAAATTGGTCAGAAAAGTCATTCCATATTTCCTTATAAGCGCTAGACATCCAACATATGGATAACAGATAAAAGTTGTTTTAATTAGTTTATTTTTTAAATAATTGTAGCAAATATGATTTAATGTGATAAAATCCACAATCGCATGCCCTTGTCATACATTTTGCCTTGGCAAAAATCAAAGAGAAAGTATTTCTCATTTACTTGAGAATGAAAGAGTTCCAAAATGCTATTGCATTTGATTGCACCTATATACTTATTATGGTAGTTGGATTATAAATGGACTTAATTGCATTTAAATGTCATCATTTGGTATATATATATTGTTTATTTTTGGAAGTGAGCATAAAATGGATTTACAATTTTTATTAAAACTTATTAGGTGCCCAAAATATTTATTAAATGATTATAATTCTAGGCCAAAGATGCTGTTATCCGGGAGAACACAATCACATCGCTAAAGAATGCCGCCGAACATGGCGCCGACATGGTGGAGTTCGATGTGCAACTTAGCAAGGATCTTGTGCCAGTTGTATATCATGATTTCATGATATATGTATCGCTGAAAAGTAAGTGCAGCATGCAGGAGCATGATTTTCTGTCGCTGCCCATGCGCGAATTGACGCTGGAGCAGCTAAGGAAACTGAAAGTCTATCACACGGCCGAAGGGCTGTCACGTGAGACGCGATCCTTTCAAAACGAGGATCAGCTGGAACATCAGCCGTTCCCGCAGTTGGCGGATGTGCTAGATGCGTTAGATGAGCATATAGGATTTAATATAGAAATCAAGTGGTCGCAGCGTCTGCAGGACGGTCGCATGGAGGAGGAGTTTGAGCATGTAGTCGATCGCAATCTCTACATCGATTGCATTCTGGATGTGGTGCTGCGCAAAGCGGCCAGCCGGCGGATTGTATTCAGCTGTTTTGATCCAGACATATGTACCATGTTGCGCTACAAGCAGAATCGTTATCCGGTCATGTTCCTAACACTTGGACACACCTCCAAGTACGAGAAGTATATGGACCCGCGTGGTAATTCCATGGAGACAGCGGTATGGCATGCGGTTGCCATGCAGCTGTTGGGCATTGTAGCGCACACGGAGGACTTGTTGCGAGATCCCAGCCAGGTAAACTGAAGCTTTGGCCTTTGTTGGACTTTTACCTAAACGGGCGTTTTAGGTAAATCTGGCTAAGGAGCGTGGCCTCGTGCTTTTCTGCTGGGGCGATGACAACAATTCCAAAGACACCATAAAGCTGCTTAAGGAATTGGGTCTGCATGCCATTATTTATGACAAAATGGATGTCCTAACCACCAAGGAGGTCAAGGTGAGTACCTAAATTATATTTATAAAATTCCATACTTTAATGATTATTTCTCTTCACTTGCAGAAAAGCGTTTTCTTGCTGCAGGCCAAGGACAGCCAAAAGGAGATGCTCAAATTACAGGCACTCGAAATGGGCCACGTCTGGCATACCTCTGCCTCGGGAAGCGAGGAGCAGCAGGCCTGAACTTTGCATAGCTTTAACTTAAATCATTAACTGCAATCCGAGACAGCTGATTGAACGATGTTTATTTATATATTTTCTGTGGATCAGTCTGTTCTCAATGGAAGCTCTCCAATTACATAAATATTACAAACACACGTACATGCAAACATACACACACACACACACACGTACTCATTTTCTCGTCTAGCCAATTTGCATTTGCATTTTCTAGTAAATTTTAATTGTTTTTCTAAGTTGCCTACTCAAAACTTTTTCCTACGGTATCCAATTGTTTTTGTTCTTCTATGCACTGATTAACGCTTGTTATTACAGTCCACTCTATATTCCAATTTTTACGACTTTTATCTTTTATTGAATGCAACTGCGAAAAATTGATTTACAATAAAATAATTATTAAAATAATTTGTATTTCGATTTATATTTGGCAAAGTATACTTTAAATTGCGGAATTATTAAATGCAATTAATTTAAATAGTAAGGCTCAAAAAAGTTTAAATTTGTTTAAACTAAAGCGCCTTAAAATATCGAACAATTCAATATGTAAAATATCTCTAAGCTGAAAAATCAGATCAAAATGTTGGATACAAGTACCATGAGCTCTGAAAGCAAATAAATATTCAGGTAAATATCGGATAGATAGTTCTAAGAATTAAACAACAAAAAATCCCGGCCTATTAAGAATTGCTTGATAATATTTAACTAGTTCCTGTGAATTATATTTTTAAAGATAAGTGCTTTGCCTCGCCTGATTTTAGAACACATTTTATTGGTTTCTCTTAATTGTTGTTAAGAGATGAAACCAAAATTCAGAAAAAAACCTATTAATATGTTTCTTCAGACATGCAGCAAGAATTTCATAGAGCTTGCAATTTAATAACACCTTTGAAGAAAATACTAAACTATAAAAAGCTCGAAATATATTTGTTAAAATATAGTTATTTTAAATATTTCATGAAACTTTTCTGACTCTAAAATGCTTAAATACAACTCATAGATCCAAACCTAAATTTACATATACTAACTATGAGAGCTTACATATATATAAGGAAATTAAAGGATCCAAAAAGCTGAATTTCCCAAAATGTTACCACAAGTTACCCACGCGCAGTCCAAATAATCAAAATGATTTGTAAACTTAAAAGTTTCTTAACTATACGGGAGAAAACAAGCACAATTTTTTTTAATTTTTAAGAATAAATATGTATATGGTAAATATATTAAACTTTAATCATATTGTTAATTGAAAAGTTCGAAATCACGTATACAAAGAGTGGAACAGCGGTTGTAAAAATGTTATGCTCCTTAGTATACCCTTGTCGTAGCATATTTTGTCATGAAATGTGTAATGAATAGGGAGATCTCCAACCTATTAAGTATATATATACTTAATCATTATGCCAAAAGTCTTATTACAATCGGATAAGATGTTCTATAGGAAGAAACGTGCAAAAAAATCAATTTTTTTAAGAAAGTTTTTTGTTTCATATGTCTTGACCAGACTATATAAGATTATCCTCACATTTTTGCAAAACCTATCATTATTATTATATGGCTCCTATAGCACACGTATCTGTCTGTCTATCTCGATAGAATCAGTTTTATGCCTTATGTTTACAAGTATTTTATCTTCGGCGTGAAATTTATTGTTTGTTTCTTTTATAAAAAAAAAGAAAACTCACATATTCTACAAATATTATAGCATGCTTTTAAAAGTTTCTAATCACAAAAATCACGTATACGCAGCGTTGCATTTGCCGCCACGTGGAACGTCATCACAAAAGAGAATTGAGCGAGAAGGGCAGGGCGCATGCACCACAGCAAACTCGAAGAGCACGGAGAACAGATAAAGGGAATCAGAAAATTCCATCAGATTTGTATTTCGGGTTTCAGTTTGTTGTATCGCATCGAATCGTTCGGAACGCGCTGAGCCCAAAATAAAAACAAAAAATAACAGACGAGAGCCGAGCAAAACGTGAAGCAACGTCGAGACGGGGCACGTTAAACGGCACAAAAGTGTAGTGTAGTTCTAGGCTTTAAGTTGTTTTTTCCCCTTATTTTGGTTTTGTTTTTTTTTTTTATTTTATTGCAATCCTTTTACTTGACACAATTTACACAAGCACAGAAACACGCGAAAACTACTCGGCGATTATGTTTATTGGCAGCGCGCACAACAACCAAAAGGCCCGCAAATAGGTGAGAAGCGGTCATTGAAAATGGTTAGTTTGTGTATGTGTGTGTGTGTTTGAGAGTGTGTGTACGTGCGTGTCGCTTATGTGTGTACACACTATTGGAAAATGTGTTAAGCTTGATCTATGACAAGATGGGCATAAAAAGTCGCTTCATTTTAAAGTCAACGGGCAACAAAACAATCAGGAAGTTTTTCGTGCTACACCAAACGGAAAAATCGATGCGTGCGCCTGTTCCCATACACATACACACATACACAGAGAGCTAAGTCGTGTGTGTGTGTGTGTGTGTGAAATGTACACTACAAGTTAACAGAAGGCAGCAACGACTTCATACCACAACAAAAAAGAGAGTAGAAAAAAAAAAAGAATGAAGAAAAACAGCAGCATTTAGAGGCAGAGCCGCACTTGCTACACGCTACTTGCAACACTCCTGACCTACTGCCACCCAGGCGCCCTGCTTCTTGCCCCGAGCCCTGTGCGTGTGCTGCCAACAGGATGTGGCCATGTGCATGTAGTGGGTGTGTTTTAAATGTGTGCGTGTGTGTGATTGTGTGCTTAAGCTAGGAAATTTGGGTATAAAACGGCAAACAAGCGGCCCACAAAAACAGAAAACTCATTTTAAATATGTGTACGCGCCGAGCTTTTTGAAGTTCTCCCATGCTCATTAAAAGTGAATAAATGATGTGGCCTGCGGGGCAAACGAGTGCCCCTAATATAGCAGCTAGCACGAGGGTTACCTACATTAATTGGATATTTAATGGCCGGCACTTCTTATGCAGATATTCATAAATAATATAATAATAAGTATTTTCAGCCGCCAGCAGTTTGACAAGCATTGGGCTAGCCGGGTACACATTTGAGTGTCGTCTGAGTCTGAGTGTGCCAACATAATCATTAGCATTAATGGCCAAGTACTGCGGCACAACCGCAAATGGAATACCCCTAACTATATATATAAAAATATATTGGTCGGTATGGGTTGCTCGTCCATTTTGTCGGGGGCTGCCCTCGCCGTGTGTATTTCGATTGTTTGTTTTGTTTATACAGCTCATGTTTTTCATTATGCACCACTGCCCGCTTGTCTGTCGGTCTGTCGGTCTGTTGGTCTGTCTATCCGAGCAGTCCGTCGAGCTGCCGGCCTGTGAATAAACATTGAACATTGAAAATCGACAGTTGAGAATCGACAATCGACAGACAGACAGGCAGACAGACAGACAGACAGACAGAAGAGAACAGAGGCTATCTCGAGAGACAGTTCGACGGAACGACCGCATGTGGGTGTTTCTTGTTGCGAGTGTATTTGTGAATACAATGGGTGCGTGCGGCTGTGTGTGTGTATGTGCGTGTAAACAAATGCAGCGTTAAAACTAAATATTGTTTAAGAACAAATATTTGCCTTTTGTGCAAATCACGAATCACCGATTTTTTCGCGGCTGCTCCGCCAACCCCAAGGCAAATTAATGACGCTATCGATGATATTCTTTCCTATATTTATATATCTGAGTTCTGCCAACTAGCTACCTGCGATTATATTTAGTCATTAGAAAAGCAAAACAATTTTTTGTGGGATGCCTTTCACGAGCTGCTAATGGGTCATTTCAATTGAACCAAATATTATTGCCAGCGGTACTTGGTATAAGTGCTTGATTTGGCTTCTGCTATTGCGTTCTTCTATGTATACCATATATACAATGGAAAAATTACCTGGATTCGTAATACTCGAAATCGAATCGTTCGGGAAATAGGAAGCATCAATCAGTTATGGGTTTCTTTGAATTTGCATAGAGAGCGAGAGTTGAATCATTATTTAACCTGCATAGCTCTCATGTGTACCCTGAGATGAGATATGTGTATTCATAACAAATCGTTCAATAAACCATTTGTTTTTGCATAATTAATTGCGGATGTGTGAAAGTGTGAGATTCATTTGTAGTGATATAAAATATGAATATGCTAATGAATTGTATACACAATTCTTGATTAAAGACACACTTTTGTATATATCATGGACACAGACCAAGGTTATGGCTGCATTCGTTAGGAGATCTATTTGCGCTGATCTGATGCTCGACCATATGAATAGGGGCTCCAATGATTGTTTCAAACAAGGCTGCAATTAGGCTTGAACTCGTTATTGTAATGCCATTGATTTTCTTTCTTGTTCTTTCAGCGCAATGTTGCCTGACCAAACCCCAACCTAGTGAGTAGCCCTATGCCAAAGGAAAGCTACCAAAATGCATTCGGCGTGCTAACATCTAGTTCAATTTCAAGTGCATACGCGCCAGGCACGTTCAAGTGACAGAGTGAGTGGAAAAGTGGGGTGACATCAGTGGGCGTGACTGACCAGCTGGCTCCGGCTGGAGAGCGAGTGCGAGTGTGTGAGTGTGTGTGTGCCTTTGAGCTGGACACGCGACATCTACAAACATAATCGCGGGCAAGGAATACGAAAAACATTCAGGTTTGCGGCCAACACAAATCCATCCAGACACGAATCCAAATCCGTAGAATTTAGCCACAAACAGTACACAGATACAAAAACAATTACAACTGATCGTATTTGCTAAGCGACCGTATTTACACTGTGATCATGACTTATATACCCAAAAATATGCATCACTATGCGCATGCAGCCATGAATCTGATCAACATGGACTCGGAGAATCGTGTCGTGCTCAATGTGGGCGGCATTAGGCATGAGACATACAAGGCCACATTGAAGAAGATACCAGCGACGCGTTTGTCCCGTCTGACCGAGGCGCTGGCCAACTATGATCCCATACTGAACGAATACTTCTTCGATCGGCATCCGGGCGTATTCGCACAAGTGCTCAACTATTACAGGTAACATTTATAATATGCATACTGCATAAAGTAATTTGATGAATCCTTTACAGAACTGGTAAGCTGCACTATCCCACAGATGTGTGCGGTCCGCTGTTTGAGGAAGAATTGGAATTTTGGGGTCTTGACTCGAATCAGGTGGAGCCCTGCTGCTGGATGACCTATACACAGGTAAGTTCATGCATTTTACAAAAGATTAAGCGATACTAAGGCTTTTTAATCCCACAGCATCGTGACACACAAGAAACCCTAGCCGTACTGGATCGCTTAGATCTGGATACGGAAAAACCGTCCGAAGAGGAATTGGCGCGCAAATTTGGCTTTGAGGAGGACTATTATAAAGGCACCATATCCTGGTGGCAGGAAATGAAGCCTCGCATCTGGTCGCTATTCGATGAGCCTTACAGTTCCAATGCCGCCAAGGTACATGTTCATGAATCTCTGCTCTTCCGCAGCCTAAGTTAATATCTCAACTCCGTTGCAGACCATTGGCGTCGTCTCGGTATTCTTCATATGCATTTCGATATTGTCCTTCTGCCTGAAAACCCATCCGGACATGCGTGTGCCCATCGTGCACAATGTGACCGTGAAAACGGCAAACGGGAGCGCCGCTTGGTTTCTGGACAAGTCAATGACCAATGCGCATATTGCCTTCTTCTATATAGAATGCGTTTGCAATGCCTGGTTTACGTTTGAGATACTGGTGAGTAGCGACTATCGATGACAGATGATAAGCTTTTAGGTATTTTGTAGGATAACAGGAGTATGTGTGCATATAGATCAAAAGATCATGTAGATCAAGTAAGCAGCAGATAGTGAATTGAAAACAATAGATAAACCCAATCGCTGAGAAGTTCTATACTTTATAAGGCGGCATAAAATATTAATATGTATGAATTAATTTTTCACCTCAACGAAGTATTATTGAACAAGAATACAAAACTTATAAAGCTTTTTAAATACAACATACAACAAATATTTTAATAAAAAGTATAAGTAATGTATAGGCTTAGATTTTATATACTTTGAAATTGACAATCTTAGTCTTGAATATGCCTAAAAACTATGGCCTTCTATTAAGAAATTATGAAGCATATTACCATATACTACAATTGTCAGCAATTGACTGAAGCATCTTCAAACTAAATTAAAATGTAAACATAAACGCAAATGAAATTCATTTAAATTTTGTTCATTGCAGGTGCGCTTTATCTCATCGCCCAACAAGTGTGAATTCTTAAAGTCATCTGTTAACATCATAGATTATATAGCGACGCTTAGTTTTTATATCGATCTAGTGCTTCAGCGATTCGCATCGCATCTGGAGAACGCTGACATACTCGAGTTCTTCTCGATCATACGCATAATGCGGCTGTTCAAGCTGACACGCCACTCGTCCGGCCTGAAAATCCTTATACAAACGTTCCGGGCATCGGCCAAGGAGTTAACACTGCTCGTATTCTTCCTGGTGCTGGGCATTGTGATCTTTGCCAGCCTCGTCTACTATGCCGAGCGCATACAGCCCAATCCGCACAACGACTTCAATAGCATACCGCTGGGCCTGTGGTGGGCATTGGTCACCATGACCACTGTCGGCTATGGTGACATGGCGCCCAAGACCTACATTGGCATGTTTGTCGGCGCCCTATGCGCCCTTGCCGGTGTGCTAACCATTGCACTGCCAGTGCCCGTCATAGTCAGCAACTTTGCCATGTATTATTCGCATACGCAGGCGCGAGCCAAACTGCCAAAGAAGCGAAGACGAGTGCTTCCCGTGGAACAGCCGCGACAGCCACACCGGCCAGGTGAGCGTAAGTATCGAATCGCGAGAACACAAAAGCCAATATGCCCCACTCTCACGCTAACTCTCTGCTTAATCCAGGCGCTCCAGTCAGTGGCTGCGGCACACCAGGATCTGGTCCACACTCGGGTCCCATGGGCTCCGGCGGCACCGGACCGCGCCGCATGAACAACAAAACCAAGGATCTGGTCAGTCCCAAGTCAGGTGAGTGTTTGGTTGCGCCGTCGCCAAAAAGATTACCATTCGCAGCACCAATGTACCTTACCACCTTACAACTGAGCTGCGCTTCAACACCCGGAACACCCGGTACACCTAACGTATGCCTCTCTATGTAGTACCAAGCAAACAACCCAAAAAAAAAAGACAGTGTTGAATAACCATTTATCAAGCCGTGCGGCAATCAGTTCCTAACCCACACGAAAGCTCAAAGCTTGCACAGCTGCACTCAGTACTCAAGTCCTTGAGTTTCACTTAGCAGTTGCTGCGCTGTACCCTGGCCCCCTCTCTCACTATCTCTCTCTCTCTCTCTCTCTCTCTCTCTATATTATATATAAAAAAAGCATACTAGGCATTATCTATTGGAAACAATATTCCAAAATTCTGCAAAAGCTTGCGCACAAGGCTACAGTTTTAAGAGTTGACTAATGATCCTTTGACCCTATATGATATTTACATTTTTATTTTTGGGGTGCGCTCCATGAGCGTTGCAATACAATATTCCTTTAAAATTGTGCGTGTATATATGTACTCTATGTAATTAAAATATGAATGCATATTCGAATCACTTCATCGAAAGCTCATTTTCTGAATCATCCCAAGGCTTGGCTTTCGTTTAACGCTGCTCATGTGCTCAGAGAGCCGTTGATCGGAGATCGGTAAAGACAGTTTAGATGGTCAAGCCCATTGATCTTAAGAGTAATCTTTGGAACTGTAAAAATATCGACAAATAACCACGATATCTTTAATATCAACTAAAATAGAATAAAAAAATAAATGTGGGAGAGAACTCCTCATTTACTTAATTGATATTTTTGTTAGTGCCATTGATGTTTTGGCAGCTCTGTCTTGCAGATCTCTAATCGACATTCATCATTCCCATATTCGAGCTTCCATTCCATGCCTTTTAAAACGCTAAGGAAATTCCAAAATATTTTTGTACAATATGTTGAATTCCTACCCACTCAGTTTTTCGCCCTATCGGGCTTATTTCTTTTTATTCATATCAAACAAATTGACATTTAACCCATTTCAACCTAGATTTTTCAATAATTTTGGTTAAAATCTATTTTTGATAATTTTTTTTTGATAAAACCCAATCAAAAACCAAAAATCTTATGTAAATACTTAGATGAATATACAACAATGATTGGCAAACCACGTGATGGCAAAAAGAGCAGGCTGCTCTAAGCCATAACCATGAATCAAGAACACTGAACTCTGAACCCTGAACTCTAGCGAAATATTTAAATGCAAAGAGCAATGCAAGGCAAGGCATAAATAAGGAACATAAAGAATGGAGCATATCTATGAAGCAACTATTGAACTGGCATCATTATTATTTAGAAAGAATTCATCCCAACTAGAAGTATCCACACATTAGAAAGCCATTATCAAATAAAATGCACACTATCTGAATACAACTTTAAAGGAGCCGCAGGATTGAGATGCTTATCGTGGTACGTTGGCCTCCAAGGATTCTATATGATTCAAAACACGTGCCAAGCTCGGCGGCGTCTGCTACTACTACTACCAACACCTACTACTACTACTACTACTACTATAACTACTACAACTTGCTATATAATCGTATATATCCCATATATATGATCGTATATAAATACAATATGTAATTTTCCACGTGTATTCTTCCGTATATATATATATATATAAACCTACTATATATGAATATTGATATATTGATATTGCGCATCGTATACGTGTTGTTCATCAGTTCTGGCTCGTTCGTTTGTTCGTTCAAAAGTATCTACCCTCTATGCATACATATATAAATATCTACTCTACAAGTATCCCTAAATATCTTCTATATGTCTCTCTCTCTCTCTCTCTTTCTATATCTCTATGTAACTATCTATCTATCTATATCTCTCTATATATCACTTGTTGAATATCTAAATGTGTGTCTGCGTGTGTGTATTTCATATATATACTTTATTGTTATTCGAAACGCTCAGATGGCGTTCAACATAATATATATAGTTATATACGTATTACATTTTTATAGACAAACATATTTGTATTATCTTGAACTTTTGTATTTCAGATATGGCCTTCAGTTTCGACTAAAAGATAAAACCAGTTTATATTTTGTAATTTATATTCTTCCAAAGTACCGAAAAAGAAAACACAGTTCAAGTGCAAGCACCAAAAAATGACAAAAACTAAACAAAAGCTCAAAATCGAAATCAAAAACAAACAATAATCAAAACTATTTAAGATCGGAAGACTAAACAAAAGAAATCGCAATCGTAATCGTTATCGTTATCGTAAAACGCTCATCTCTCATGCTCTCAGGCAATGCCAAAATGTAACGGACTAAGCTGGGCGGGTGTGTTGGTTTTACCATATTCTAAATAGTATAGCTCTATGTACTAGTACTCTCTACTCTAATCCCAAAATGAATCCTATCTATGTAGCGTAGGCGCTGGCAACAGGTCCTACCAGAAACTTTAATTTCTAAAACTAAATAGTTTGTAGCAAAACCTTCAAGAAACCGCAAACAAATACCAAAACCTAAACCGGAATCGAAAACAAAACCAAAATCGTAACCTTCACACCTTAACCATCATCCAGCGTTGATTCGAAAAGTTTGCGAAAACTTTAAGCAACCAACCTTGAGTATCCAAAGTAGTTGATTGTTTTCAATGCTGCATGCTGCATGTTGCCCGTCTGTGTGGCACGCACCACTCTGGAGTGTCATTAAACCTAGTTAGTTGTTAATTACTTTAAGTTGTGTGTATTAAATAAACATGTGCAACACTCTCTGCCCGTATGTGTGTGTGTGTGTGTGTGTGTGTTGTATTTTGTATGTGTGTATAGTATATTGTTTATCCCAACCACACACCCTGTAATTAGTAGTATCAAATGCACCCTGTATTAAACAACACTAATAGCGTTGCGTCTACCCTTGAATTCGAATTAATTTAATTGAAATTGGATTGATTTTCTAGCTTTATTAACTAAATTTAATATAAATGCTTATATTTTGTCTCTCTCTCTCTCTCTCTTTCTCTCTACTCTTTATCTCTCTCTCTCTCTCTCTGTTTCTTTCTCGCTGTCTTTCTGCTCTACAATCTACATTCTTCTGCTCTCGTTTAACTGCGCTAAAACCAAACAGTTGCTCAACTCTTCACAGGTCCCTTGGGCGCCAGCATCGTTGCGATGAGTCCACGCACCATGTTAGATCTGAATCCGGCGCTGGCCATGGGTAAGCCCACATTTCAGCCGCGTTTTCCGACACAGCTAGCGGCCACGCCCCCAGCGACAGCCCCCCCAACAATACCAGTGACATTGGCAGCGAAGGCAACAGCAACAGCCACAGCAGCGGGTGCAGCGGCTGCAGCCGCATCTGGTACAATGCCCGTGGTGCCCAGCATAGCGGTGTCCACCACCGCGAGTCTGGGCAAGGATAGCACTGGCACTGGCACCACAACGACGACCAGCACTACTCTGGAGGCCACCAAGAAGGCATTTCTTTAAAGGATTTGAAATTGGAACAATGGAACATGATGATATTCTCAAAAATCCCATCAAGCAATATTTAGCCTATAACCATTCTTAACCTTCGCATACGTATGACTACTTACGAGTAAATATCTCTAAAAATCTATTATCACGCAAGCTAACATTGACTCCCATATTCGGCCATATCATGACATACATATTACTGTAGCTATATAAGTATTATTACAATTAATAATGCATCGGCACTGCTTGGCGTTTTAAACAGATATTGAACAAGTTTTTAATGATGACGTTTTTTAGTATTTTATTTAGCGTGGTTATCGATCCATTTTATATAAATACATTATTAGCCAGAAATAGCCAGAAGTGTATATAATACATAGCTAACGATTTTAACAGCCGTAGGACTCAAGAACAATAACAAAGAAAATAAACAATGTTTTTTATTCGGTTTGCCAGTTCCTTAAATATTGTCCAAGGACAGTTGTGTTTCGAAAGCTTTAATTTCATCTAGAATCTAGACACAACATCAAATCAGTTATGCAATTTTCTTTAAAGCGCAACAGTTCCCAAAGCTATTCATGTGCCCCAAGTATTGTCTTTTTTGTATGCCTCAATTGAAAAAACCAACTCAAGTAGCTGGACTTTGGTTCGTGCTGTGCTAGCGTTTCTTTGCTTAGAAGCTTTGTTATTGCCTAATTAGAAAATATACGCATGGCTCAGACAGAAGATCTATAATATATAAAAGTTTTTCACAATATTATGGCAACTGCTTAAAATTCATTGAAGCATTCAACGCTGCCAATCGCTTGTTTAAGGCACGTGTTAACTTTTTCAGCTAATAAGTGCTTACATCCAACGGGCTTTCCTTGACTTTGGCGTTGATGCTACCAACCGAAAAACATTGTGCAAACTTTAGAAAACTTTAGAAAAACAAATGAAATTTTCTGGCTGCCCGTGCTCTCATCATCAGCACCAGACAAATTAGCAGAGGGGCCCATGAAAGAAACGCTTCAACTTTAATTACATTTTTTTTTTTCTGTTTTAAACCTGAAACAGACGGCACGGCACGGGTCTCGTGTAGAAGTTGGAGAAGAAGTGTAAATTGGCATGGAAAATCTCTCTGGCAGGACTTTGCTTTAACGAGCGTAAAACGATTTAAATTGCATAAATTCAAATGTTTTTCATCTTCACAGTTGTTGTAGGCAAACGTAGCTCACAACTTGTTTTCCTTTTAAATACTTTCTTTTTCTTAGGTAATAAGGACAGTTGTAGGGGGTCAGAGTTCAGAGCAGAGTGCATATACTTGGAACATATTAATGTGTTTCTCTTGGATATCATTAGGTAAACCCTCTTGTACATTTTAAATATCTCTCAGCAAGCATTATACATACTTACATACAAGCATAGTTATTGTATCTATACTACTAACGATAATTTCTAAGCTAAAGAAAAAAAAAACATACAAAAAAGAAGAAGATTCTAACGCTTTGCAATAAATACCAAAATATTTCGTTAAACAAGAGAAACGAAAAATTTAATAAAGTTTGCAAAACATTTGTTAAGTTTTTACAATGGAAAAACATTAATGAGAAACTTATAATAAATATATAGTACCCACGGGTACATATATAAATATATATATATATATATACATATATATATGAAATATGCGAATGCGTTTAAACATTGTTTTGTTTTTATTTCTTATTATAATGAATATTGTTTTCTTTTTCAAAGAATTTAAAAACTGATTTGCAATTGTATAGGTAAGCGAATTGTATACTATTTGAACTAAAGGCAAAGCAGTTCTTTCAATAACACATGAACAAGTATAAATTTAATTATATATAATAAATATACGAAACTCAAAACTGAAATGCAATAAACAAATCTATTGAACACCAAAAACTGCAAACATGCAAAATAAAAACTACTTTAAATTTTAACGTAGTTTGCTTTGGAGCCATTTCTGGGCTCAACGCATTTTTCAATGCTCAAAGACGGCAGCTGTAAAAAGAATCTTTAGTTTTTTATATAAAGGAATATAAATACGTAGCATACAGTTTCCCTTCCATCAGAGGACGTGGAAAATGGCCAGTTTGTTTATTTATTTATTTTCTTACATTCTCTGCATAATGCATTCCAGAAGCTTTTTTATCGAGTTGCGCAGATACAAAACTCTAAGATTTGAACATACAAGAGATTCGGGCATTGTAACTGAAACACTTGGCTAAATTAATTGTTAAAAGTGTATTAATGAATCTAAGAATATTTTACTAATTTCACTTTCAAACGACATCTTCAATTTAAAGATTATAATCATATCCGTTTTAATTTAGATGTATTCACCATGGCTACATAGAATTGTCAACAAATGCTTTTAGCAAAGTCCATACCCTACTTTGGAAACCCAAACAGGACTTATGGCCTTAGTCGGATTTCGTTTTGCCGTTTATTTATTTACCAAAGCTTGGAAAGTAAACAGGCAGACTTTTTTTTTGGCATAGTCTTTGCTATTTGCTTATTTCTTTCACTTTTTTCGTCGAGTCATCAAACCTATGCAAAATAGCAAATCATGCGCGGATAACCAAGACCTTAAGTTGTTTAGTTTTATACTTACTTTTTTATTTTTTTCTTTTATTTTTGGGTTGCCTTGGAACATGTACCACAACAACAACTTGGGCATTTAAATGTCTTGATTTCATTGCTCAATTGTGAAAGCAATTACATTACTCGTACCGTTGGGCAGCGCATCATGAATACCTGAAGGCCAACCCAAGCCCCAACGGCTTGAACTTTGGAGTTAAGCTAACAGCTTTGACCAGGTGCAAAGGCCCGAGGCTATTGACCAGCAGAGCGCTTCATTAGGCTGCCACATGGCCCATGAAAGCGTCAGGACATAACAAAACCCACAGCCACAAGCCCAGCTGAAAACCAAAATACACCTAAGCACATCTACAGCAGGGGGCACAGCCCCAAAGGGCAGTTGACATACCAATCAACAGTTGGCGCCCAGACAGTCAGCTGCTCTTCGGCCGCATCGGTACTGGCATCAATCTTCGTGCTTCGTACTTTGAAGCCCCCACTCCAAAATCTAATAATCCATGAAATTTCAATTACGAGTCAAAAATCATAGGCCAGCCAAATGCTATAAGTATCTATGAGTATGTACGCATCTATTAATGTATCTACGTACTGCTACGCATTGCTTGGCAAATCTTTGAGCGTCATAAACATCAAAGATGTTGTTGTTGTTTTTGCTGGTGGTGTAGTTGCTATTGGCTCTCAGTTGCTGGAATGTTGTGGGAGCAGGTAAAGAAAATGAAAAGAAATCAGAAATCAAGTGAGTATCGAATTTTAAATACACTTTATTTACTAGTTTTAGATTTTCGTTACAAACTTTCGTATTTGCCTTTACGATATGGGAATTTATGGTCAATATTATATTATTAATAATAATATTATTAAAATTGTTATTTTTATTTTACCTTTTATTATTTTTATTATAATTTCTTTATTGCTTATATTTTTATTTATGATGATTTTGATTTAGCGCAGATAAGATATTGGTTTATATACTTATATAGAATAAGGGAACTTAGTTGAATTATCGTTTGACAAATTGATTGACAAATTTAGAATGCCCTGCGTAAGAGCATGAAAACAAGCTAAAGACTTGCCGACATTGCGTGAGAGTTGAAAGGCATTTACATTAACAGTTTTCCAGTTTTCAGTTTTCGGATTTTGGTCTATGCGCGGTGAGAGTTGCCTGGAAAAAGCTCTCTCCCCCCTTCTCTCTTTCTCGCTCTCTCGTTCGCTGCGACTCTCTGTACATCTCTTTGGCATTTGCCAATGAAGCTCTCGTCTCTCTTTCTCTCGTACACAGTCAAAAATACATTTCTCTGGCTATTTGGCTATTTTGCATGGACGACTGCCCTAGCGCCCGTCCCCTTCCCAGCCCGCAGCCCCCAGCCCAGGCGAGCCCAGCGATGGCCCAGCAGTCAGTCTGGCTGTGTGAGGCTCTCGTGCGCTGCCTTCGGTTACCATAGATACACCATGGAGCGCTCTGATCCCGTTGTATTTGGTCGGTTTGTCTGCCGGTCCCGGCTCGGCAGCAGCGGCGGTCGCTGGCGGCTGCTGCTGCTGCTGCTGCTGCTGCTGCTGCTGCTGCTGCTGGAGTTCACATTCACAAACGGTTTTAGTGTAATTTCGGCTGCGCGGCGTGTTAGTCTCCACGTCGCTCTGGGGACCCGGGACAACAAATTGCCATATCCAAGTGTCTTGAGCGCGCGTGTGTACGTGAATGTGTGTGTGCGTGCGTGCTTGCTGGCGTGCATGAGTGTGTGTGTGTGTCGTGTGGCATCGTATCTGTGTGCTACGTCGTGCTCCAGCTGTCAGCGGAGTCGTTGTCAGTCCGTCGCACCGTAGCACCGTCGCCGTCGCCGTCGTCGTTGCCGTCGTCTGTTGCTCTTCGCGGTCGCATCTACAAGTTTTTCCTTTATTTTTTTTTGGGATTTTTTTGTTTTTTTTTTTTTTAGTATTTGCTGCGTCGCGTTGCGTTTTCTACAATTGCTTGAGGTTGGTTGCCATTTGAATATTAAAGCCAAGTGCGAGGACGACAGTTTTGTGTGTGAGTGTGTGAGTGTGTGAGTGTTGTCCCCCAGCTCCACTCTGAATGCCCTACGCACCGAATGCCCGCCCTGGCAGTCAGCGCGAATTGCGCCCCATGCCCCCCGAACCCAGAGTTTTCACGGGTTTTCCCTCCTGCAGTTACACTTGTAGCAATCGCTGTAGTCGCCTGGGTCTCCAGGTCTCGGGTCTCAGGTCTCAGGTCTCAGGCGTTTGCTTGACTGGCTCTGCGATTGCGATTAAGACCAGTCATAGTTGCTGTCCGCAGTTGTAGCCTGGTTACGTTTACAACTGCCACACTGACTGTGGCATGCATTAAACATAAGCGCCACTGCAGGACTGTGGGGCCGGGCGCCGGGCGCCGGGCGCCGGGCGCCAGAGTGTGCGGTGCGGTGCGGGGTGTGGGGGAAAACTCAACTAGATTAAGTGTGCGCTGAAGCTTTTATTTCACAGTGTTTGCTTGTTTATTTTTACTCGTTTTTTTCTTTTTCTTCACTTTTTTGAATTTTTATTATTAGCACATTTTGCGCCTCTGGAGCGCGCTTGAAGTCCGCTCATAAATTAATAACATTTCATGACAAATATTGCGGCATGTTGCATGCAGCAGTTGCAGCTGCAGCTGTAATTGCAGCTATCACAGTAATAAAATAAAATTAATAAATAAACAAATTACGTTTGCAGTTTAAATATTTTACCCACCAGTAATGTTTATGTTCCCACATTATATATTATAGATTTCTTGGATGTCTTTTTCTGAGCAATCTAAGCGAACTAGCAGATGTTAATCCAAGCATAAGCTGAGATAAACATAGCTAAGTTCATCCTACTGGATTATTTTTTAAAGCTTGGTAGAAGGGTTTTAAAAGTATCCGATCCACGGGCCCAAATGTGGCCTAACTCAACCTATTAATTCATATTTCACATAATGGTATATTTTGATTATACTTTTGTGTGCCATTAAGCTTCAAGTATTACCCTTAATTCTTCAATTTTATTTTGTAAATCAGGTACAAGCATGTTTACCTAATTACGTTAAGCACATTGTGCTTAAGGCATCATTTTAAAACTTTTTGACATTTTAAATTTGGCATAATTTGCTCAATACCTACCAATTTGACCTGTTAAAGAAGTTTTACCCATGTCAAACGACACACCATTTTTTTTTCTGGCAATAATATAGGTGAACACAAAATTTATATAATGAAGAGAAAATCAAACAAAACAAAATAAAGCTTTAAACGAAAGTAGCATATTAAAAAAAGTTTGGACCTAAAAAATTGTGAAAAGCAATTCTATTTTCCTAATTTTATGACATATTCCCAATTGTCAAATTATAGAAATGCATATGCCATTAGGAATTAAAAGCTCCTGTGGCCAACAATTATTTTGATTTCGCAAGCAAAACCTTCTTATGCACGACTCGAATATAAATCGCAAATATAACTTTTATTCAATTCAAACTTATACACATATGTGTACTTATGCATATATGCATGTGAAATTGTCCGCCAGTTCCAGGAATTCGGGATTCCCTTGTGTTGTCTGTAATGTATTAATTATTTAGCCGTGCTTAATGCTGTCTTTTATTGCAGTCAGATGTAATTGAGTTGGGTTTCCGTTTAGCTAAAGACATCGGAGAGCACGAAGCCAGAAATTAATGAGAACTTCAGCCTCTCAAAGCTAGACGAGAGTGCTTACGAATCTTCATATTATCCTCTGTGCTATTTTAGTTAGTATAACTATGAGTAAGTTAGCTATTATTATTATTTTATTTCAACATTCTTTTGATTAAACCTATTTAGTTTATAATTCAATGGATGGCCTAATAAGACAGTTAGCACGCCTTCGAGTGTGCCGGACACTTTGGCAAGGCGACAATCCGAATCACATTTCCGCGCTTTTATACTTCAACTGAAAGCAAATGGCTCAAAATTGCATAACTTAAGTCGCAGCTATCCGATTTGCCTTTTGCCTTTGCTCAGATGTTGGACTCTTTTTCTCAGAATGTCATGGAAAGTCTGTGGCATCTCGAGACTCAGCTGGCGTCCTTAATAAAAGCCCAGAAGATCTATTCTCCACCAAACTCTGGTTGTAGCTGACTCTTTGTGGAAAGAGGTCATCCAAGAATTTTAATCGTGAGTCCGATAAATTCAGACAAACCTGGGTAATCTAATTTTCCGTCTGATTTTCCATTAAATCTTGGTGCAATTGTGCTTAATTTAGTTTGAATAATCTTACTACCGACAGCATCTATTTAATTCAACTAACCCACTCACTTAATCTATGTTTATGCTGGAAATGGTTAAGCAAAGCGCAGCTAAGTGCAAAGTTGAAAAGGCAACAGAAATCAGGGTCCTCCTCTTGGTTCTCCATTAACAATGCGCACAGTAGTAACAACGACATTTTATTTAGATAGAAAAAGAGAGAAAGGGCGAAATGGATAGAGGGAGAGAGATCGAGAGAGAGAGCGAGAAAGGGGGTAAAGTCATTCAGCGATTAATGAAAGGTTATCCAGAAGCTGATGTGTACCATCCGCTGGCAATCGGTATATCTCTAAATGTATCTGTAACTCGTAACTACAAGTGTATCTCTGGAATGTATCTGTATCTTTGGCTACAATTACAACTGTTAGCTGCACAGCAATTGCAGTGAAAATGCAATTCAATGCGCTCTGCTGAGCTGTGTAATTTTTATAACCTTTGTTAGCTTTTTATATATGCGGGTATTCTGTGCACCATTTTTTTTCATTCCATTCGCAATTGTAATTGCATTTTATTATTGATGGCAGTGGTGTTTGAGTGTGTGCGACCTGTCAGCTATCATATCATTCCAGTACTTCATTTATGAAATTTACATTTATTGCGACCCATTGACAGACCAGCAAATTAAAAATATTCATTCACTCACTTTTGATTAATGTTTTGTTTGTTGATTTTTCATTTGTTTTGTCTTAGGGTGGGGCTTTGGGCGGCCGTTTGGGGTGAATACAGGTGCGAATTTGCATAGTTCTGCTTGATTTTGTTTGGATATGACGCTGTTGACATTCGACAGCTGTGCAAGCAATGCACAAACTCAAACTGAAAGAGAATTTGAGAATTTGTCAAAAATCAATCGAAGCTTTAAGTGCCATCGACTGTGTCACTTGTTTTTATTCACAATTTCCAACTGTCATATTGCATTTGTTTTTCCATTTTCTGAAACAGTAATCCATATGTTTTACGCTTCGACCAGCCCTCAGCTGTGAAGTCACCTGTTTACATGCACACGAGAATAACAAAACACAATATGGCAACATTTAAACGCCAGCCAAACAATATGGGGTACATATTAAGGGTATTCCATTAAAGGCTGTATATGTATTCAAGGTAAGGATTTGTTTAAATTCAACTTACGACGATTGTAAATAGACCAGAATGATCCTTGAAGCAGTCGAGCAAGCAAGGTTGTTCAGATTCCTTGTGGAAAGTTAGGGAATCATTTGACATGGCAAAATTTGAAAATACGCATTGAATAAGTTGTGTCCAACTAAATATTTTAATGTTATAAATTACTGATTATATTACTGATTGATTATCTTCATAATTTTAATTCCCACTAGTTTAATTTTTTGGCATTGACACAGAATACTTCCCCTAATATGTTGGAGATAAACGGGCATCAATTAATATGCTTTAAACTTAAAGGAATCAAATGTTGGTCACTTAAGAAATGAAAACTTGAGATTAGACTGAATTTTTCGATTTTCTTTTTTAGCATTCTCAAAGTAAATTTTGCTCCAAGCGCACTCTATTTATTATTATTTTATATTAGCGATATATTTACATTATATATTTATGCAGATGTCTGCAACAGGCAGAAGGAAGCATCTCCGACTCGGAAAAGTATAATTATTCTAGTTCAGCATTAATAGCCGAGTCAATCTAGCCATGTTCGTGACTAGACGTTCTTCTTTTTAGATTGTCGTACAGGGTATCACCCTGTCACGGACTTTTTATCTTACGTGTTTTCTGTTGTCAATTTTATAACTCAAATTTCGAAGCAATTTCAGTGACAAGTTCATTTTTAGGGGGCGCAAAACAAAATAACGAAATTCTTTGTTTCTAAGGTCCTATTTCAAATTCAAGCATTTCATCGAAACGAACAATTTTGTCTTGTTCGAAATGGCAAATAGCTTGGCTGCGGGCTTTTGTTGTCAACATGTTTTGGACTTTAATTTAACAGAGCTTATCCCGGGGAAAACCCCTTTCGTTTGTTTACCAATGCCTTATGTAAAATTCCTATGCCTATTCCAATTTCAATAAATGAAAAGTGAAAATTATTGATCGGCTACAGTTCGGATTGGAATTGATTTGAAAATTGTGTGTGTGTGTGTGGTTTTATCAAATGGAAAAACAAATCATATAAATGTAAATGAGTACAAATTGGCTTGGTTTCAGCTGGTTGTGCTGTCAAAGGCTCGAAGCGGTTGCTTCGCTTGAATGGATTTTGCGGTTAGCACATATTAATTTTTAATCAAAGTTTATTGTGTGCTTTATGAATGAAAATAGTACAGTTTTAGTACGGGCTTTTCTTTCTGTTTTCAAAAAGTGCTCTGGTAAATTACCTGCCAATCATTACACTTTTCATTTTGAACCCAATGTCTCAGGCGTATTTATAGGGTTATCAGAGTGGGGCGTGGGGCTTTACTACTTTTTCGAAACAATAACTCATTCATTTATTGCTGGAGCTTTGCTATACGAGCGTCCATAGTTGGTCTAAACTGTTCTGGATTGCATTTCGCCTTCATCTTCCGCTCGCTTTTTGTTTTCTGCGTAATCCCAAGAAAGTTTGACAGCCAACTGGCTGTGTGTGCGAGTGTGTGTGTGTGGGTGTCGTATCCGCAGCCACAGTAAAGCCCCAAAGACCTACATCTTATCTTAAGCACTGCCCAAATGCATTGACAGCCACTT